TCTTTGCAGTTAACACAACCTAGCACAGAACCTCTGAGCATACAAAGCAAGCATGGGGCTTCTTCCCCCTCATTAGCGGCTGACCTACACACATCAGAGAGGAAGTACCCCCTTCCATTCTAATTGCTTCTTGAACAGTGGTTTGAAACAATTAAATTGTTTTAAACAATTAAAGTAGCTTTTGAAAGAGGTGATGATTTCATACAGACTCATGTTATACCCACCTGACCCTTCAGTACACTCTTATTTTATCTTCTATATATTTTCCTCAAGGAAAAAAAAAAAAAATACATAAATGGAGTTTCATAAGGCAAATTAGACTTCAGGGCTTTTCAAGGGGACATTTGATTTCACAGTTTCCTTCCCAAACATATGCTATTTACAGTCATACAAATGAAGAGCGAATGTCTTTGACTTAACTGAATTTAACTTCAACTAAACATATGGTTGAAGGATTTCCATTTCCCATGCTAAAAACATCTGAATTTTTTTTTTTTTTTTTTTTTTAGCAGCTAGATGATAGAACTTCTTTAAGAAAAATAAAAAAAAAAGTTAACAGGACATTTTTCACTCAAAAAAGAGGCAGAGGCTTGATCACATTAGTAAAGGAGATTTTAACAGAAGGTATCTCAAGCTATTACCCAAACCTACGTACATACTGCCAGACAAACATTTGTGCAATGAAGAGGAAGATCTGAAAAGTTAGTCCATGCTTTTCTGTATCACCCACAGGTATGGATAGATGCCACAGAAAAAATTCTCAAAGGCAGGCTTGTACCATAACACATGTCAGAACGAAGCTGTGGAATTACGCACAGCAACAGCTCCACGATCAAAACAAGATGATAAATGAGATATAGGCCAAGACTGTATAGTGCCCTTTTTCCAGATTTCTGTCCTGTCTACACAGCTCTGTGTAGAACAGTTTTGTAACTCAGTATTTTCTAGATGAAATGAAGGTTTCTCTCACTGTATAAACCACACCTTGGAAGTTGACAAATCTGCATGAGATAAACAGATAACCTCTGTAAAAGAGGAAGTCGGAAGATGGGAAATTTTGGTCAAGGCCAGCACAGCAAACCACTGACTTACCAAAAGTACCGGGAAAGCTCAAGAGCTAGTAAGACCTCTTTAAGTATTCTCCAAAACTCTCATCCTTCTTTCTGATACTCAAGTCTACTTAAATGAAGAAAAAGTAAATCAGTTCAGCTGAGATTCATATTAGAGCAAAACTTAGTCCATTCTCTTCAAAAGAGGATTCTAGTAAGCCCCTACTAGTACAACAGTGTAAAGTATGCTAAAGTAAAGTGATCCCTAGACAGGTACGTGACACCTAGGAGAAAAAAAATGAGTTTTGTTGATGATGAAAATTCCTTGCAAAAATACTTTGTGAAACCTTCCCCTTCAGTAACAAGTAAAATGTATTAGTTATGTTTGTTTCAAGTAATTCAGAGCTTATCTTCCAAGTTAGAGCATAGAGTTTTCACAAGGATTTGGCAAGGTAAGAGAAAAACAGAAAGTTAAAAAGGCAGAAAAGAGGAAAAGCTTTGAACCCATTTTACTGTCAATATTATAAAAGCACATTTGAGTCTCAAATCAAGATTTGGCATATTAGGCATTGTATAAAAAGGACAAAGCCCATTTCTACCCCAATAGCTCTCAAAGGGAAAAAGGAATAAAAAGTCCTTAAACAGCACAAAGTAATGTGAACAACACACAATACAACAAAACAGATTTTAAACTGACATATGAAGGCAGCTATGAGGCAGTGGGCTTGTAGACGCTTATGAAGAGATGCTTCTACATAAAGGTTCTGTATAAAGGGGGCTATTTATGAAATGTCTCTGCATGTCACTTAACAGCAACATTTCCGAAGTGGAGGTACATACCCGCCACCTAAAAGCAAGTACTGATAAACAGAAATTGAAAGGGACAAGTCCAGGATGGGCCCTAAAAATGAATACTAGTTATTAGAGTGTCATGTTGAAGGATTCGAAGGGCAATGACACTGTCAAAGCAATGAGAATTGAGTCATCTCTCTTCACATCAGAGTTCTGAACAAACATGTGAGGCACACAGCATTTACTCAGTGCACAGAAGACACAGAAGGACATCTTAGCCCAGACAAGATTTAACTGTATGATAGCACAAAAGTGATTCAGAAGTTTTAGATCCTGCCTGTAAGTGGGAAGATGCCTAGCACTAGTGGCTTACAGACTTGCCCAAGATGACTACTAGGCAAGAGACTTAACAGTAGTCAAATTACATAGTCACTGTAGACCATGTTAGAAAAATTGCATCTCTCAACAGATTTCTGAATATCACAAAACCCATCAGAATAGAGACTAACCTTCCAAAGGAAAGCCCACTGCTTTGCAATTTCTAATGCAATAAACTGTAGGAAAAATGTCACCTTATTGTCACAGGAACAGACCAGACAATTCGAAGCAGAGGCAAAGATAATGCCAACTGACATAGCTACTCCTACTACTCGGATGCACTTATAACTTTTACTGTCAAAACTATAACGTGATTTTACCCTACCAACATGAGCAGCCACAGGAAAAAGGTCACTGAAAAGAATTTTACAAGTCTTGTTTCTAAGTGATATGACTAGAGCAATGAAACTGAACAGACTGAAACACAACTTCTTGCATGTTTGACTAGCAACTTACAGCTAAGGGGCTACTCAGAGCTACACTCACTTTCTCTCTGTACGCACACATTAAAATATATATAATCTGCTTTACATCACCCCAGTTACATACCACTTATATAAATTAGCACATTCAGCCTTTGTTCTCTTTAGGTGGGCAAGCAATCTCAGTGGAAAAGTAATTTTTGCCAGCAAGCCACCATGTAAGTGGGCAAAAAGTGTAAGAGATTGCACAAATAATAGTACTCTAAAACTGTTCAAAAATTTTCCATCTAAAGATTCATTAAGAACAAGAAATTTTTTCCTTTACTTACCTGTTGTCCTGTCAGATCTCCCGTACTTCTAACAGGATCCATGGAAACAGAAGCAACAGCTACTGGCACCTTTAGCTCAGTCACACTTTTTTGATATTTTGGCAAACACCTTGTTCTTAAATTTCCTTTTGTAGACACTTCTGTAGATGAAAGACAAGCAGAACACTCAGATTATAAAGTCAAAAGGGGCCCTTCTCTTGCCTCGTAAACCAGGTCTTCCACAAAGGCATCCTTGCCTTAGCAGCTCTTTTTGAAAAGAATGAGCATTTCAGGTATATGTTTGCAGTTCCCTCCAGCTTCTGACTCCATATAAAATTTTATTAAGATTTTGATCAGCGGGAAGAGAGATGCATGGCACTGAAGTGCACCCAGCCACATGAACATCAAAGTAAATTCTGAGCCACACATGCTGTCTTCTGACTGAGGTTCAGTGCAAAAACCTGTGTTTGTTTCAGATGCAAAACCATAAAATTGGGCTTCTGCTTTGACACTCAAAGACAATAAGGAACCAAGTGGCAGTAGCGCAGTTAAAAGTACCGATGAAATATAACTTTTTTTCTGCTATACAGCCAACCTACTAGTTACCCAGGCTAATTGTTTGTTCCTTTCTAGACCAGGCATATGAGCAAGGTAATACTGCAGTGCACACTCCACAGATCATCTGTAAAAAGCTTTCTGCCATAATTAGAATTAGTTCACTCCTACCAACGGTAACAACATTAAAGCACTGAAAATCCTGGTACTAGAATTATAAAATGCCAACACTGACAGCAACACTAAAGCCTCTCAGGGCCAAATGAAAGCAAATAGCTTTTTGGTACTGCCTCAAGGTTTGAGTTTTGACTGTTCTGTTGTTTTGACTGCAGAGAGTTTTGAACAAGAAAAATACTGATTTTATACTAGCAGATAGATTACATTTATTTGGGTAATTTATTGCAGAAGTATGACAGCAATTCAAGTGAAAAGACTAAATCATAATCTTCAACACATCCATGCTGATACATAAGGGAAAATGATGTTTCTGAGATTCTCTTTCATGGAAGCAGAAGAGTATTCCCAGAGTGAATCAATTTCCGACATTTAGGATCACTGCTTTCTTTCCAGGACACAGAGTATAGCAATCTGACATCACCTGACTTGACCTATGGTAGCTACAAAAAACATGCAGAGATTTTTAATAGAGCTCTTTGGCCAGCAGTTTTGAAGGGTAACTGTGCTACACCAAACCTAGAGATTAGGATTCCTCAAAATTTATAACTGCTAGCCATACTCTGGACATATACACAATTTTACCACAACTAATCATCCCCAGGTATGTTTTCAGGACCTGGTGTCACTGTAAAAGCTGTGTTTGAAAAAAATTAGAAAATTCTGAAGGAGATCTGAGAACACCATCCTTTACCCAGTGAGCATGCACTCAGTAAATAAAGGTCAAGGGAACTAATAAAAAAAAAATTTCTTTACATAATGAATCTTCATTTTAATTGTTTCCTTCAAAATTTACAGAAGACCCAAACACCTCTAATGCTTCAAGAGTCTTCAGAGATCATATTAAAAATTCAGCTTACCTTATATATTGGATCAAACTATGCTGTACCTGCAGCAGAAACAACTCCCCTGAAACTGTTCATCTTACACTGTATGCTTATCTAAGCAGCAGAGCATAAATCCTCTGCTATAATCCTGTATGTCCCATTAAAACTTCTGATGACTCTGTACCTTACACACTTAAGTACACAAACCACGTACCTGGAAAGACATTGCAAAGTTTAGCATTCACAGGAAAAACCTTTGTTTATGGCTGTTAGAAGGTCGTACCTGAAACAGATACCATTGGCTGTTCTTCATCAGACACTGCATGTGCCTTTGTTAAAGGTAATAAAAAAAAAAGAGAACAAACTTGGCCCTTTTGAACAGAAACATAAAAATAAGTACTTTGGCTCTTAATTTTAAAAGACTGTTGGTAAGAAACAAACTGGGAATACTTTGGGAGCACCAAAAGCAAGAAAAACTTGACTAGAAAAAACCAAACAATGCACAGATTGCATTACTCGTTCTTCACTGTGCATTAACTTTCAGCCTGTAAAGATTATCTTAGAGGTCACCTTCACAAAAGATCCCAGGGACCAGCCCCAGTTGCAAGTGCAATTACTAAGATAATGAAGTAATAATATTTATTTAAATTAGAGCAGATTATCATTATATAAGGAACCTCTGGATATGTAGGGAAGACAAAGTCGAAAGTAGTGTATATTCATACTGCGATGAAATACTTCTTGTACAATATATTCTAAGAAACATAAATGAGGGTAAATGCAAAAGGTTTCAAAGGAAGTTGGTCATTCTCATCTGATCATCACGTGATGAGTAACAGATGAAAGCCTGAGGACTGATTTTCTTTAAAAAGATCGAGATTTGTTCTGAAGTAGTTTCAAAAAAAAAAAAAAAACCAACAAACTATTTCAAGAACTTTCAAATTGCCCAGGGCTTTAACTATTAATTGACTGCAGAAAACACTTAAAAATCACAAAGGTCTGGGCACCACATTACTTGTGCTATGTTAGCAGTCACAGAACTTGAATCTTCGCCTCCTAGAAGTCACTAAAAATAGGACTCAACACAATTCAAGGAAGGGCGTAAACTACAGTATCTTCCTTAAAGCAACAGTTTCATTTCACTGAACATAAATATTTTTATTCCCACAACAGTAACTAACATTACACTGAAGTGAAAAACAAAAGCACAGGGCACAAAATTCTGCTCCACTATCTTTTGTTTTGTCCTGGTTTCAGCTGGGATAGAGTTAATTTTCTTCCTAGGAGCTGGCATAGTGCTGTGTTTCGGATTTAGGATGACAAGAATGTTGATAACTCACTGACGTTTTAGTTGTTGCTGAGCAGGGCTTACACCAGTCAGCAACTTTTTCAGCTTCCCATGCTCAGCCAAGAGCACAAGAAGCTGGGAGGGGGCACAGCCGGGACAACTGACCCCCACTGGCCAAAGGGCTATTCCAGACACCATGCTTCGTACGTAAACTGGGGGCAGTTGTCCCTGGGGGCAATGACCACTGCTCCAGAACTGGCTGGGCATCGTTTGGCAGGTGGTGAGCAATTGCATTGTGCATCATTACCTTTGCATATACTTTTATCATTATTACTATGATTATTGTTATTTTCCCTTCTTTTTCTATCCTATTAAACTGTATTTATCTCAACCCATGAATGTCACTTTTTTTCCCCGGATTCTCTCCCCCATCCCACTGGGGAGGGGGACGTGAGCAAACAGCTGTGTGGTGTTTAGCTGCCTGCCAGGTTAAACCGCAACACATTTATACCCCTTTAAAAAAAAAATTTCTTTACATAATGAATCTTCATTTTAATTGTTTCCTTCAAAATTTACAGAAGACCCAAACACCTCTAATGCTTCAAGAGTCTTCAGAGATCATATTAAAAATTCAGCTTACCTTATATATTGGATCAAACTATGCTGTACCTGCAGCAGAAACAACTCCCCTGAAACTGTTCATCTTACACTGTATGCTTATCTAAGCAGCAGAGCATAAATCCTCTGCTATAATCCTGTATGTCCCATTAAAACTTCTGATGACTCTGTACCTTACACACTTAAGTACACAAACCACGTACCTGGAAAGACATTGCAAAGTTTAGCATTCACAGGAAAAACCTTTGTTTATGGCTGTTAGAAGGTCGTACCTGAAACAGATACCATTGGCTGTTCTTCATCAGACACTGCATGTGCCTTTGTTAAAGGTAATAAAAAAAAAAGAGAACAAACTTGGCCCTTTTGAACAGAAACATAAAAATAAGTACTTTGGCTCTTAATTTTAAAAGACTGTTGGTAAGAAACAAACTGGGAATACTTTGGGAGCACCAAAAGCAAGAAAAACTTGACTAGAAAAAACCAAACAATGCACAGATTGCATTACTCGTTCTTCACTGTGCATTAACTTTCAGCCTGTAAAGATTATCTTAGAGGTCACCTTCACAAAAGATCCCAGGGACCAGCCCCAGTTGCAAGTGCAATTACTAAGATAATGAAGTAATAATATTTATTTAAATTAGAGCAGATTATCATTATATAAGGAACCTCTGGATATGTAGGGAAGACAAAGTCGAAAGTAGTGTATATTCATACTGCGATGAAATACTTCTTGTACAATATATTCTAAGAAACATAAATGAGGGTAAATGCAAAAGGTTTCAAAGGAAGTTGGTCATTCTCATCTGATCATCACGTGATGAGTAACAGATGAAAGCCTGAGGACTGATTTTCTTTAAAAAGATCGAGATTTGTTCTGAAGTAGTTTCAAAAAAAAAAAAAAAACCAACAAACTATTTCAAGAACTTTCAAATTGCCCAGGGCTTTAACTATTAATTGACTGCAGAAAACACTTAAAAATCACAAAGGTCTGGGCACCACATTACTTGTGCTATGTTAGCAGTCACAGAACTTGAATCTTCGCCTCCTAGAAGTCACTAAAAATAGGACTCAACACAATTCAAGGAAGGGCGTAAACTACAGTATCTTCCTTAAAGCAACAGTTTCATTTCACTGAACATAAATATTTTTATTCCCACAACAGTAACTAACATTACACTGAAGTGAAAAACAAAAGCACAGGGCACAAAATTCTGCTCCACTATCTTTTGTTTTGTCCTGGTTTCAGCTGGGATAGAGTTAATTTTCTTCCTAGGAGCTGGCATAGTGCTGTGTTTCGGATTTAGGATGACAAGAATGTTGATAACTCACTGACGTTTTAGTTGTTGCTGAGCAGGGCTTACACCAGTCAGCAACTTTTTCAGCTTCCCATGCTCAGCCAAGAGCACAAGAAGCTGGGAGGGGGCACAGCCGGGACAACTGACCCCCACTGGCCAAAGGGCTATTCCAGACACCATGCTTCGTACGTAAACTGGGGGCAGTTGTCCCTGGGGGCAATGACCACTGCTCCAGAACTGGCTGGGCATCGTTTGGCAGGTGGTGAGCAATTGCATTGTGCATCATTACCTTTGCATATACTTTTATCATTATTACTATGATTATTGTTATTTTCCCTTCTTTTTCTATCCTATTAAACTGTATTTATCTCAACCCATGAATGTCACTTTTTTTCCCCGGATTCTCTCCCCCATCCCACTGGGGAGGGGGACGTGAGCAAACAGCTGTGTGGTGTTTAGCTGCCTGCCAGGTTAAACCGCAACACATTTATACCCCTTTACTTTCCTCAACCTTCAAAGGTTGGCCAATTAACTCAATTACTTAATTTCCGTACTGTTTACAGGCAAACGCATTTCAGGCTTTGCAGTTGTCTTCATACAATAAAGTCAAATTGTGAAAATATTTCAATTAACCTATACAAACTCTTAACTAAAATTTGATTTTGACAGCACCACCTCAAAAACTTAATTTAATAAATTACCACACGGTGGAGAAAATTAGGCATAGCCTAGAGGCTTCTCCCTCTGGACAGCAACTTCAAATTCAGTCAATACCCACTATCCACCACACAACTGGTACTCAGCATACTGGAAGGGCTCGATCACAGGCTTGCTTGTGATCTTGATTCGCTTTATCATTTGTAAACAATTATCACTCATCAGTCTCACACCAGTTTGAGAATACGTTCGCTTAGTGCTACTGTCAAAGCCATCTCTCTCTACAAACACCGAAGGCACTTTTGTTCTCACCTGTAAGGGGAAGCCTGCTATCTCTAGCTGTCACAGCACATCGTGGGGTCATGCCATGAACCAGGTAAGGAAGCCAAATAAACTCTGAAAGTAAAGCACTATGTTCTCTCTTTCCAAAAAAGCACCAAGGCAGACCAAAAGTCCAAGTCTGGATCACAGCCCAGCCCAAACACCTATGTTAGCACAACTACGACAGCAATCTGCAGGACACCGAGGAGAGTATCTTCAACTCATACTACTACAGGGAACAACCAACTTCAGCACAGGCGACTGCATTGTCAACTGACATATGGTTAATCTATGTGCCAACACATGACTGTAGGAAATAAACCAGATTTGCCTAAACAACATTCGGCTTTTGAAGTTTGCCTCCAATATTGGCACTGTTGTGGATAGATACCTAGTACCAGGATGAAAAAATTAGTCAAAGCTGCTGCTGCTGCTCCCCCTGGCTACCAGGACCACTCTCCCATGAAGGTTTGGAGCCTAGTATATTAGAATAAACCAAAGTCAGATCAGGTTACCTTAATCAGCTGAACTGAATATTGCCATGACTCAGGAGCTGATTCATAAACAAGTCCAACATCCTCATCACAAGAGTGGAAGACTGGGGACAGTACCAGCACCGAGCATTTAACATTAATCCACTGCCACTTGCCTCTCAAGACTCCCAATAAGGTGACTATACACCTTAGAAGCCTCATACCACCACAGCTGCTGTTGCCTTGAACATTAGAGACAGCCATCACAGGCATCAGAGAAACTGAACATCTTATGATGCTGTATGGCTCCCCCATGGCAAGCAACAGCGCATCTGCCCTGCTATGCTGAATCTATTATAGAAATTATATTGCTCATAAGCAATTATAGAAAGAAGTTCAGTTTTCCAAAGCTTTTAAACCAACATTACCAAATGTCCCAAATTTCCCACCCCCCTTTTCTGAAAGCATCCACTATTATTTGCTCTTGTGCCATATGCATTTCCAGGTATTTAAACTTTCCCAAGATCAGAGGCAACACTACCTACTTGCAAAAACATGTAAAATGGAAACGGTTGTCGGAACAAGCCTCATTCCTTGGAATATCACACTGCATGAGGCCACTGCTGGGCTGAAGAAACCACATTTAGTCACAGGAAACAACCTGTCACACCAGATGTTAATTGATAAAAACACACTGTCACTGTAACTGCATCAACACTTCCACAACTGAACAGAGTATTGACAGTGTGGCAACAAATCTGATACGAGATTACCGATCTTCACACTATCACATCACAAAGAAAGTTGTAGGCATTTTTTTTTAACACAAATAGGAAATCTCAACAGTGTGCTCCCTAAACAGTCCATCAGATGGTTGGTCCATTTCATTTGCGCATTGTTTTCCAGTGGGTGTGCAAACAAACATATAAAAAAGAGCACACACATACTCTTTCTTTTCAATCACTTCCAGCTGATGCTGGAATCCCACTCTCAGTGTGAAAAAAAGCAACACCTCAAGTCCCTCACACCTACAGCTAAGCTGTCAGCTCCTAAATTTCTGCCAGGCCAGACTGCCAGTTCCACCTAATGTGTTCAAGTAGCTGAGCCTCTAACTCAGCCACATGAGCCCAAACTTCCACACCCAACTCCTTCTGGTTCTCTGAACCATGCAAGTGCATCTCTCTCTAGCCAGGCCTTTACAGGCTGAATCCCTGACACCGCAACCACCACCCACTCCATCTACGTGTCCAGCCCCACGTAGTCTCCCACAGCCGGAGCCTGCATGTCTTCTGCAGACAAAGCCACCACCACTTGTCCCTCACAGCTAGAGCCCTCCGCCCTCCAGGTCCCCCACAGGCCCACCCTAAATGTTATGCCTGTAGTCAAGCTTAGATGCCAGTCACAAAAGATGCACCTTTTTCTTGCTGTCCTTTCAGTCTCTAGCCTCAGTTTCTCCCTGTTGATTCCCTTGCAAGTTTCTATAGCCTGAACCCAGTTCCCCCAATTCCTAGGTATTTACCTCCCCAAGACTTCACAGCTAGGTCACACAGAAGGTGGACGCCCAACCCTCCCTTCTCTTGCAGGCCACCTTAGCTTTCAAATCCCACCTAACTCTCCGGTCCCTGCGCACAAGCACATGCCCAACCTCCCTCCCCAGGCCGAGCTCCCCGACACACACTCGCGAGCGGAGCCCCCAGCCCCCCTGTGCCACGGCCAGAAAACTCCACCTGCCCCACAGCCCCGCGTCGGCTCCGGCCTCCTCCACACCAAAAC